AATGCCGAGGCGGATCGAGTATCACAAGAGAGCGTGGAGGGCCCTCAGCACGCTCGGTGGCAGACCCGGAACTAGACCAGAAGCACTTCCAGTATACTTCCAGGTCTGCCACCAAGCATGTGGGGGGGCCGCCGCGCTCCTGTGGGACACTCCATCTGTCCCAGCATCACAGCATTCACAAGCCACGCTTGGTACCTCAAGATATGCAGAAAAAACGTTTAAAGCTGTGTCTACGGCCAAATCGCTGATTCTTGGAATCAGCATTGAATATTTGGATTTGGCTGAACTGAATTGAGACAGTGATCCGAATCAACGAATCGAATCGCTGTCCCCCAATTCAGGCCAAATCTGAATCCAAATTGAATACGGCCCGTTTCGCACACTCCTAATGTTTAGGAGAGTGGAAAACTTACTTAATGGCTGGAGATTGACTTGCTTATTTTGCAAAACAAAGGCTGGCACGGGATACAGTTACAAATTTGTGAGGTCAATGTCAGAAATATTGTTCTTTAACTTAAATAAAAGAACAATGCTGGCACAAGATCTAGATACAAACAATGCGGGCTACAAACTGGTCACAAAAACTCAGACTGGAAGAGTAAAGTTTTGGTCTTCTAAATGAAACAGTTGTCAAGGAACTTTAATTGCTTTTAAGACAGAAGGGACAGTATGACAGGATAGAGGCACTGCTGCAGAAATAAATCAAGAGTGGTATGTAGAACTGAATTTACTATCATGAGGAAGGGTTGAAATCTCCATCTCCATGAAGACGGGCTTCTGCTGGTCATCTGTAGTGGCCAGGAAGAATTTTCCTCTTTCCCCATTAAGAATGCATTATTGAAAACAGAAGCTAAACACCAGCATTCACATTAGCACCACCGCCTTCCTTTGAAGCACTGGACATTGACCACAGCCAGGGTACAAGAGTGCATCTCCTCATGCAATCAGGATCAAACCAACTGCCAGGTGTGGGGGTCACCAAGAAATTTTTCCTTTGCCAAATCTGATTTGGGAGACTTTTTTATTGCCTTCTGTAGGAGGCAGCCATGGTCTTCTTCCTAACAAGTTTCCTGTCACTGTAGTAGTAAAAGAGTTGGTGGTACCCTTGCTCTTTACCTGCAGCTTGTAGGTTTCTGAAAAAAGGGTGCAATAGGAACTGGAAGGGATGTAGATGTTCTTGTGGAATCTCTCCATCAAAGTTCCTTCTAAATACAGGGAGTGGACGACTTTAGGGTCTGGGAGGCCTTTCCTGGTGTCACTCGATTTTATTTTCCAATGATAAGTAATAACCCCAAATCTATTAAATTCTATTTAAGTACCCAAATGTAGGCATCTATTTTAGAAAACGGTCACCTTTGTTTCAAAGTTCCATGCTGCTTTCCAATTTCAGATTTAGGATTTCCCAAGCATTTAGGTGAATAAAATAACAGTGCTAAGACTATGACAGAGCTGGTGCAAGGATTTGGGGACTGATTTGTAAAACAGTATTCCCCAACCTTTCTCCATGAATACAGTTGCCAAGGCTCACCATTTCCAGAGTTCTCTCTCTCGAAGGACAAAGACAAGGAACCTCGAGATGAAAAGGCCGAATCCACAGAAGAAACTCCTGAAAGTCTCTTGTCACTGGAAGCAAGTTTGGACTCAGAAGAGCTACGGCTCAGCTCCTCAGGGCCTTCAATTGTCTGTGAAATCCCCGAATCCAGCTGGGACAACAATTCCGAGAGGCTGTAATCCTTAGCTGACACCGGAGCAGATGCTCGTTTCACCTGGGATACTGCATGCCTTCCCTTAAAAAAAACAAAAAAAAACAAAAAAACCACACACTGACTTTTGAAACGTTTGGCTCCCCATTTGGGGGTGGGAGAAGGGGGAGGACTAGCAGAATGAAATCCAGATTTAAGCTCTATGCTTAAATAATAATTAAAAAAAAAAAAAAAAAAAAGAAAAAAAGATTGTACCCGAAGAGGACAGATACAGGAATGCAGTATGTGTAGGAAGCTCTCAATTCAGTTGCTTTCTCCCTTCCTGTCACTTTTAATATCAGACCTTTCCCACTTCAGGGAGTTCACTCTCACAACCTGGACCTCCTCAGCACCTACTGTGTTTTGGTTGCTGTAACCACCTGTTCTCTGTCCTGCATGACACAGACTGCAGGAAAGGCCAACATGGAGAAGATACCCACTGAGAGATTTCTTTCCTAATCTGGCCTTCTAACATCTTTCTGAAGCAATTCTAGTATTCGCTTCTCCCCCATTCCAACTCCATCACATTCAGAGTTTTTAGCCTTCACTGCAGTGCATAATTTTGCCCCTTCCAAACCAACCCACCCTTCCTTACTTCTAATCATAGAAACACCTAACTCCAAACCCCCATGGCTGTTATCTCCCCATAGCAATTGTTTGAAAATAAATTTGAAATACACTCACTGAAAAACACTTTTGCCTGAAAGAGTGCTGAGACAACAGCTTGGAAGAGTGATTAGTAATTACAATAGGGTATGTAAATCAAGAGATCCTTGTACATAAAGGATTTATGCATAAAGAATTTCCCTTGTGCATGCAAGGGAAAAGTAAATTACCTCTGAACGTAGTTCTCGGGAACGCTTGGTGTCCAGGTCCTGGGTTACAGTTTCCTTTGTTTCATCTTCTGGTTTTTCATACAAGTCCTCTGTTTCTGAAGTGATTTCTATAAAGATGCAAAAAAGCCTTTTAATAGCAGTTTGAAATTAACATAGCATCATAACAGCAGGAGCAGAGATGAGGTTTTATTCTACCCAAAGAACACACACGTCCTGAGATCTTTTCTATGTTGTCCACCATCAGATATTCTGTCCCCTCCTGTGTAGATGTGAGAGCATAACTAAGCCTTCATAGACACCAAATCACATATTTGTCTGAATGCCAATGACCAACTATGGACACCCTTTTGCAAGAAAGTGAAATAGGTCAAACAAGATGCTGGACCCCAAGCCAACAAGATGGATGATGGTAACAAGTCTGTCACTACTGCTTGATCAGATTTAAGTACGACTAAGAGGTGGAATACTCCTTGGCTTCAGTTATCCAGTCCCCTATAGCACAGGTAGGTGCATGTGTGGAAGGGTGGGGAAAGGAGGAAAATTAATTCACTCATTCAAACAATTAGCATTAAACAATCTGAGGACAATTATGATTTTTTTTTGTGCATCTACTATTTGGAGCACTTTCATATTTCGTTTTGGATAAGCTGAAGACTAAGATCAGGGTTGTGTCATTACTGCCAGAAAGATGAATCAGTTGTATTAAAAAAAAAAAAACAACAAAAAACCACAAAATCTCTTTGTTGAACAGCAGCATGCAACAGGAAAGCAGGGTGTCCAACACTCCCCTTCACCATGCCAAATCCCGCCTTGGCCAGAATGTTTTTTCGGAAGTGAACCTACTCGCACTCCTCCTAGACAACACATCTGGGGATTAGCCAGTTCAGTACAGCTCTGACTTCTAAAATGTTTACATGACATTTTATCATGGTCAGACTTGCCTCAATATAATCCCTTCCTCCACATGTGAATATTGCTTTATAGCTTCTTTACTACACAACATACTATTTTCTCATTATTGCCTGTGAGATTTAACCCAGGTATTAATATAGTCCTGAGCAATGAAGTGACTCACAAGAGAAATGGGCAGTTGGATTACCAGAAAAATCTTACCTTGAAATGTTGGCCGCTTACTAGGATCATCTTGCCAACACTTTTGCATCAGTCTAATCAAGTTATTACATGAGCGAGGTCTGGATTTGGAAACGGAAGGTAGTTCTGGGCGGTGGCCTTGAACTACTTTGACCATAATATGCAAGATGTTATTTTCTTCTGCAGATTAAAAGGATATAAATGGACACATCTTAATAAAATGACAGAATTAAAAATTTTCTTTTCTTTAGTACAAGTTTAATTTATTCACTGGAAATTTGGCTTCCATGCCGTTGTAAGTTCTAGAACAAAATTTTTTGACCTTGGGGTAGTGAACCAGTGGAGTGGGTTGCCTACAGAAGCAGGACAATTTCCATCATTAGAAGATTTTAAGAACAAGCTAGATCTGCCAGGAATGGCTTAGGTATAGTTGATCTTGTGTTACAGCCAAGGGATGGATTAGATCTCCTGAGATCCCTTGCAGCCCTGTTTTCTATGATTCTCCAGGTTTGGAACATATTTCTAACACAGTACGAAAAATGTATATTATAACTTCAGGAATGGCAAAAAAACTAATGTCGCTGGGTATTTTATATAACACCAGTTAAATGTCAGTGGATAAGAGCACTTTACAAAACTTGAGTTGGAGAGAAATACAGCTCTGGGTTACTGTTGCTGGGACTCTTATCTGTTCCTCACACTGGGTCCCATCTATACACGCATTAATGCACCATTGCTACTGCACATTAAGTTTAATACCCCTAATATGAGGTACTAACTAAATGAGTAGTAACCAGCGCTACTGTTCAGAAGCAAAGGTGCATGGTCTTTTTGTGAAGATTAATGCACAGCAGAATAATTCTACTGCATATTAGTGTGGCTTTTGCTCCGACATGCTAATGCACAATAGAACTAGTCTACTGCGCATTAGGCATCTCATGTAGACGTGCCCACAGTCTACATAAAATTTTTATATAAGCAAAAGCAGCACTAGAGAATAGCCATAGAACAACAAACTTGAGAGCCGTGGTAACAAAGGGGGACAGGATCTTGCACTTCATAAAAACAGATGCTTGGTGGAGAGTAAATTACACAAGATGATTTTTTTTTAGACATTTGAGGGGAAAGCCATGAGTAAGCTGATCTTATTTATAATGTAGTACATTCATCATGTGCTAGATACCACTATTAGAAGACAGACAACTTCTTAAAAACAGATCTGCATCCAAGGTCTACAACTGCAGAGAGGCTTTTTAGTATACAGTTTCTGCAGATACAGTTTGACAGGTGGCTCTGCAGTTTGCCATTTTTTAGGGGCTACCAGAGGATGCATTTTGAATTCTCACTGAGCTATGCAATGACTTTAGATAGGCATGGAAAACTTGCATCAATGCCAAATCCTCCATAGATAGGGGATAGTTAACAGTCTTATAGGTTACATTTCCAAAATATGCAAAGATATAGGACTACTTTCGAAGCATGCCTGAAATATATGAAGTCCAAACTATAATAAAAGGGCCCACCAGCACACATGCTCTAGAAACTGAGAAGGCAGAAGTTGCCTGGGACAATCACTTTTGAGTATGGGTTATGCACCTGGAAGTGGGTTTAAGAATTATGTTTTTTGTTGCACACATCCAAAATCTGAACTTTTTGAATAAAACCACATTGTCTTACCTGCAAAAGGCTTCTTTTGTGTGAGGACTCCCCAAACCACGATGGAAAAACTGTCAAAAAACAACATGTGCATCTTTAAATAAAGATTTTAAAAGAAAACACCTCCCCCACAAAAAATATCAATCAAAACTATTGAAAATAAACCAAGATGCAAATCATTGAAGTAGAGTACAGGTAATAGGCAAATAACTATATATAATGAGATGGTTTTGGGCCTAGCCTATGGATACACGTTTTAATAGCAGTTAATGTGAACACAGGTTTTACAGGAAGGTATTTAACTGTTCATACAGAACGTTAGAATTGTTTTCATTGAAAACTCAGTCACTAACTCAGAGTACAGCAGGGAATTATTGGACAAATTTTGTAAAATTCAAAAATCAAAACAGAAGTCAGCCCACAGTTTAGTCTCATTTGTTTAGAGCTTAATAATTTTCCTAATAAGAGTAAACAGAAGCTGGTACTAAAGGATGAAATCCAGGCACCAGTGGAGTCAGTGGCAAAATGCTCACTCACTTGTAATAAGCTCAAGATATGGCTTTGACAGAAAGTCTAAAAAGCATACAGAAAGGCACTCCAAGGCTTGTTCCTTTAAAAAAAAAAAAATAAAAAAAAATAAGTGCAATTAAAGAAACCTGTTAAATCACAGGTTCTAAAGGGGTTTCCACAAAACCTAAAATAATAAAGGTGTTAGATCCTGTGTTTTTAGTAATCTTGACTTATAATGATACACATTCATGTAAAATGTGCAATTTGTTAACAATACTACCCAAAAGAAAAAGAATCTTAAAAATAAGTAAAGTACCAAAGCTTCAATTCTGCACAGGCTTCACTTAAATTGGAGCACATTCATAAGCCTGTCTGTATCAAAGCCTGGACCACTCTCCCCACCACTCCACCATTCTCTTTGAAATTGAACAAGACACCAAAGAGCTAACCTCTACCATTCTGTATCCTTTAAATAAGCTTTCAGATCTACGCACAGATGACTGACCTGTACACATCGTGTTTGGTGTCAAAGCATCGGTTCTTCTCCTTTATACGCTCTGGAGGCAGATATGCTATAGTGCCACATAAACCATCTACGCTGAGATCATGGGAATGTGAGAGGCCATTGCATTTTGCTAGTCCAAAATCGGAAATCTGCAGGAGAAGAACACAAACATGCCCAACAATGAGATTCCCGATTATTTTACCTAAAAAAGCTAATCTCTCCTCCCCTCTCTTTCAACTACAGTATGAGTTTTCTTGTCACAGCCTTTAAATTAAAGCAAATTGCCATTTGGAAATACTCTGCTAGTAAAAACTCTAAAAACAATGATGCGGGAGAGTTATATTTTTTCTTTTCTAGGTAGGCTATTAAAAAAGCTAGTAGTTGCTTCATGAAGATGAAATGAAACTTATTAACTCAAAAAAGAGACACAATTAGCATGTATTTATGACATGTTGGGACAATTTCACATGATTAGCCACATTTGGACAATGCAGTCTGCATATTAATGCAACAGTCAGCCTTTTCCCCTTCAAGTAGTAACCAACTGGAAAGTGTTCTGCATGCTTCAGAGTCCTGTTTCTCAGCTTGGAGCAAGCTAAGTCACAAAAGCTGTGCGGAGAATGCAGGCCCCCCC